GACAGAATTTACAAAGTTAAGCTGAGAATGTAGTGTGATGTTGGCTCATCTGTCCCTGTCCTCCTCAGCTTCATGTCACAGAGTGGGCACAGAATTTGCCACGGCACATCTGCATTTTCAGCCAGCCCCAACTCCCCCAGAGACCATATCACATTGTTTTCATTCCAGAGAAAGTGCTGAGGACCAAGCACCTCTGTTGCTATCATAACACTTAACCAGCCCCTGAATTGCACAGGGGTTCCTGATACTGAGGATAGGGAGGGGAGAAAAGAAAAGCACCTCCCCAGAGACAAATCTACACATAGAAATAAAAAGTAAGGCTTTATTTTATAAGGATGCACATAGAAAAAGTAGAGGAACTTTGGTTGAGATCCTCTTGGACCCAACACCGCCCTGGACACTTTTCATGCATTATCTCCTTTTCTGCTCATGAGAGTTGGAGTGAGACAGGATTACTATTACTCCCCCATTTTATAGATAAGGAAACTGAGGCTCAGGGAGGTGACTTGTTCATCATCATCTGGCTATGATGATGCCTTATTCCCTAACTTAGACTCTTGGGCTGAACTCTGGGATGATGTGAATGGGGAGCATTTCTACAAATCTGGCTACAGTACCTACTCCATTTACAGAGCCCCAGTCTCAAAGTCAAGGGTATGCTTCTGTGTCTCCATGGCACACAGTTCATGAAGCCGATAGTAAATTACTGAGCCAAGGTGATGTGTAGAAGAGTCATACAGAAACATAACAGGCCTCTTTTGCTTTCCTCCCTCCCTCCCTCCTTTCCTTCCTTTCTTCTTTCTTCCTTCCTGTTCATTCTTAATGGACACTTACTGTGTGCCAGGCATGTACTGGGTCCTGGTGATACAAGTTTAGCAAAACAAGTGCCTTGTACACGTGACTATATGGTCCCAAGTGGTGTCACCAAACTTTTTCTGTAAAGAGCCAGAGAGTACATTTTCCCAGGTTTGCAGTCCTCAATGATGACTATTTACCTCCGCCTCTGTGGTAGGAAAGCAGCCGTAGATGATAGTAAAGGAATGAGAATGGCAGTGTTTCAATAAAACTTTACAAAAACAAGGAGGCAAAGGATAAATCAGGAGTTGGGGATTAACAGATACACACTACTATATATAAAATAAATAACCAACAAAGACCTACTGAATAGCACTGGGAACTCTACTCAATACTCAATGTTAAGCTATAATGGAAAAGAATCTGAAAAAAAAATATACATATGTATGTGTGTGAGTGTGCATGTGCACAGGAATGGGGACCATTTCAGTTATATAACTAAATCACTTTGTACACCTGAAACTACACAATATTGTAAATCAACTATAATTTTAAAAATGGCTTTAAAAAGTGGTAGCCACTTTAGGCCTATAGAACATATTTACCATCTCTTGGTTTTATGGGTAAGACTAAGAAAATACAGGCAAAAAAATAAATAAGATCACTACAAGTCATTTCAAGTTCCTTGAAGAAAATACAAAGGGTGTTGTGATGGAGAATAAAGTGGAGGATTAAATCATAACTTTAGATGGGGTAGTCAGGGAAGACATCTCTGAAGTGACTTTTAATAGAGACCCGAAACAACGTCCTATTGTTTAGTACAGGAAACTCTGCTCAAGGTTATGTGGCAGCCTGGATGGGAGGGGAGGTTAGGAGAGAATGGATACAAGTGTTAAGTATGGCTGAGTCCCTTTCCTGTGCAATGCAAGCTGTCACAACATTGTTAATTGGCTAATGGCAATGTTAGTCGTTCAGTCACATCTGATTCTTTGTGACCCTATGGGCTGTAGCCCACTGGGTTCCTCTGTCCATGGAATTCTCCAGGCAAGAATACTGGAGTGGGTTAGCTTTCCCTTTTCCAGGGGATCTTCCCAACCCACGCCTCCCTCATTGGCAGGCGAGTTCTTTACTATCTGAGGCACCAGTGAAGTCTCTAGTTGGCGAGACTCCAATACAAAACAAAAGGTAAAAAATAAGTAAATAAATGGAGAACTGAAAAAGAAGTAAGAAGGAAGAGGGTAACAAAGGAAAGAGTTCTGGGAGGAGGGCCAGCTGATGCAAAGGCCTTGAGGCCAGAGGGAACCTGAGGTGCCCAGCAGGGAAGAGAAACCCCATTGCGGCTCTGAAGACACCACGGTGACGCAGGGACCTCAGAGCCAGGGCAAAGGAGAGTGGACTCTGCTCAGCACAGGGTGGGCAAGCACACAGGGCTGAGGCAGGAGAGCGACAGGATCTCATGTCTACAGTGCCCTAGAGCTCCAGCTTAGGAAAAGGGACTGTGAACCTGAGTTGAAACAACTTCTCCCAAAAGGGTAGTAGTGCCAACATCACACACATAAAACTTTCAGACAATCAGACAAATGAACAGTCACTCACTTCTGAGAAACAGTCTAAAAACATAATTTGAGGGGCTGGGGACAAGTGCTGTCATTGTCACATGCCAAGAACTCAGCTTCAACTTTTTGTGCCAGACATCCTCTGTGCCCAATGATGCGCTTAGAGAACCACTTACAATACTCTGATCAAAGCAAGATGGTGACTTCATTACAGGCAAACTAGAGGCCAAGAGAATGTTCTGGTCATAGCAAATACCCTCTTCCAACAACACAAGAGAAGACTCTAAACATGGACATCACCAGATGATCAATACCAAAATCAGATTGATTATATTCTTTGCAGCCAAAAACGGAGAAGCTGTATACAGTCAGCAAAAACAAGACTGGGAGCTGACTGTGGCTCAGATCATGAACTCCTTATTGCCAAATTCAGACTTAAATTGAAGAAAGTAGGGAAAACCACTAGACCATTCAGGTATGACCTAAATCAAATCCCTTATGATTATACACTGAAAGTGACAAATAGATTCAAGGGATTAGATCTGATAAGACAGAGTGCCTGAAGAACTATGGATGGAGGTTCATGACATTGTACAGGAGGCAGGGATTAAGACCATCCCCAAGAAAAAGAAATGCAAAAAGGCAAAATGGCTGTCTGAGAAGCCCTTACAAAGCTGAGAAAAGAAGAGACACTAAAGGCAAAGAAGAAAATGAAAGATATACCATTTGAATGCAGAGTTCCAAAGCATAATAAGGACAGAAAAGAGCCTTCCTCATTGATCAATGTAAAGAAATAGAGGAAAACAATAGAGTAGGAAAGATTAGAGATCTCTTCAAGAAAATTACAGATACCAAGGGAATATTTCATGCAAAGATGGGCTCAATAATGGACAGAAATGGACCTAACAGAAGCAGAAGATATTAAGAAGAGGTGGCAAGAATACACAGAAGAAATATACAAAAAAGATCTTCATGATCCAGACAACCACGATGGTGTGATCACTCACCTAGAACCAGACATCCTGGAATGTGAAGTCAAGTGGGCCTTAGGAAGCATCACTATGAACAAAGCTAGGGGAGGTAACGGAATTCCAGTTGAGCTATTTCAAATCCTACAAGATGATGCTATGAAAGTGCTGTACTCAATATGCCAGCAAATTTGGAAAACTCAGCAGTGGCCACAGGACTGGAAAAAGGTCAGTTTTCATTCTAATCTTAAAGAAAGACAATGCCAAAGAATCCTCAAACTACCACACAACTGCATTCATCTCACATGGTAGCAAAGTAATGCTCAAAATTCTTCAAGCCAGGCTTCAATAGTATGTGAACTATGAACTTCCAGATGTTCAAGCTGGATCTAGAAAAGGCAGAGGAACCAGAGATCAAATTGCCAACATCCGTTGGATCATCGAAAAGGTGAGAGAGTTCCAGAAAAACATACACTTCTGCTTTATCAACTATGCCAAGCCTTTAACTGTGTGGATCATCACAACCTGTGGAAAATTCCTTAAGAGATGGGAATCCCAGACCACCTTACCTGCCTCCTGAGAAATCTATATGCAAGTCAAGAAGCAATAGTTATAACTGGACATGGAACAACAGACTGGTTCCAAATTGGGAAAGCAGTATGTTGAGGCTGTATATTGTCACCCTGCTTACTTAACTTATATTCAGAGTATATCACACGAAACGCCAGGCTGGATGAAGCACAAGCTGGAATCAAGATTGCCAGGAGAAATATCAATAACCTCAGATATGCAAATGACACCACCATTATGGCAGAAAGTGAAGAGGAACTAAAGAGCCTCTTGATGAAAGTGAAGGAGGAGAGTGAAAAAGCTGGCTTAATACATTCAAAAGATGAAGATCATGGCATCTGCTCCTATTACTTCACAGCAAATAGATGGGGAAACAATGGAAACAGTGACAGACTATTTTCTTGGGCTCCGAAATCACGGCAGATGGTGACTACAGCCATGAAATTAAAAGTTGCTTGCTCCTTGGAAGAAAAGCTATGACCAACCTAGACAGCATATTAAAAAGCAGAGACATTACATTGCCAACAAAGGTCCTTGTAGTCAAAGCTATGGTTTTTCCAGTAGCCATGTAAGGATGTGACAGTTGGACTACAAAGAAAGCTGAGCACCGAAGAAATGATCCTTTGAATTGTGGTACTGGAGAAGACTCTTGAGAGTCCTTTGGACTGCAAGGAGATACAACCAGTCCATCCTAAAGGAAATCAGTCCTGAATATTCATTGGAAGGACTGATGCTGAAGCTGAAACTCCAATATTTTTGGGATGCAAAGAACAGACTCTTTGGGAAAGACCCTGATGCTGGGAAAGATTGAAGGCAGGAGAAGGGGAAAACAGAGGATGAGATGGTTGGGTGGCATCACCGACTCGATGGACATGAGTTTGAGCAAGCTCCAGGAGCTGGTGATGGACAGGGAAGCCTGGCATGCTGCAGTCCATGGGGTCACAAAGAGTTGGACAGGACTGTGTGACTCAACTGAACTGAAGCTAGATACCTTCCCCAACCTATTACAAGTCCCTTCAATGGCTACATGTTCTATTAAAAAAAGAAGAAGAAGAACCAAAAATAAATAAACAAGAGATCTGAAAACTCAGAGCCATTAAAATGGATTTACCTTTGTATGATCTGAGTGAGAAATCTTCAGAGCTGGGGACACTAATGATCAGCCTTGGTCCATGAAAGCAATGGTGTCTCAGGCACATGTCTCAGGCTCACTCCTGGGCAGACACGACGCTGGATTTTCCCTCCCATGAGCTCTGTGGGATCCTTGAAGCTGCAGAGCCACGATCAAGCAGTGGCCTTTCAAGAACGCCTATTGCTCAGTAGGTTGAGGCTGTCCCCCATCTGTAATAGTTATACAGGCCTATGAGCATCCACTGGGCTCAGGGAGCCTTCTATTTTTTTTATTTGATGCCACTGTCCCCAGTGTCCAGCACAGATTCAGTAAGTAAGCACATAGTGCTTGATAAATGATGCAAGAATTGGATCACAAGCAGGAAGAGGGCCCTGGCATCCTGATGTGGAGATGGCTCAGAACTCTCTGTAGATACCTGTGTGTTAGTCGCTCAGTTGTGTCCAACTATTTGCAATCCAACGGACTGTAGCCCTCCAGGCTCCTCTGTCCATGGAATTCTCCAGGCAAAAATACTGGAATTGATTGCCATTCCCTTCTCCAGGGGATCTGCCCAACCCAGGGATTGAACCCAGGTCTCCCACATTGCAGAGAGTTTCTATACTGTCTGAGCCACTACCAAGAACAATCTGAAAGTTGACCAACCTACCATCCAAGGACATGTAAATACCATCAGTGGCAGATTCAGGAGTAATTATGAAAAAATAAGTAATGCCCTCAGATACAGGTAGAATTCTCCCTCAGTGGAAAGTGGAGTGTAGAGGTTGAGTTAATGATCCTAGAGCACAGCTCAGAAGGAAACTCTTCTCTAAGAAACACCTGGAAGAAGGGAAAGAATGTGTCACTTCTAGGCAGTTGGGCAAAGCCCTTTGCCATCAAAAGCCAAGGACGCTGTGAGTGATGGGCAAGGCTCTGCCTTCCATCAGCACAGCAGTTTGAGTGGTCTTTTCCCTCTAGACCCTCCATTTGGGTGACATCAGTACTCAGCATGCTTCCCAGGTGGCATGGTGGTAAAGAATTCACCTGCCAATGCCAGGGACACGAGAGATGCAGGTTCGCTCCCTGGGTCAGGAAGATCCCCTGGACTAGGAAATGGAAACCCACTCCAGTATTCTTGCCTGGAAAATTCCACAGACAGTGGAGCCTGGCGGGTTACAGTCTGTGGGGTCGCAAAGAGCTGGACATGACTGAGCATGCACACACTGGCACATGTAAAGACACACACACACACACACACACACACACACTAATCAGTGCATAGTTATCTGGAGCTTTCTACATGCCAGGCACAGGGCTAGGGGCTGAGATGCAATGTAAATTGTAGTTAGTTGCTCAGAAAAGATGGAGAGACAAGAGCAAAGCTAAAGGATGGCAGAAACACATGGGAGCCACCAGACCCCAGGCCTCGGTGCAGCTCTGTCCCCATAGCTTGGGTGGGAAAAGGGATGGTGGGGAAGGGGAGGATCCACACACTCCCAGCAAAGTCCAGGAGTGTGAAAGTCAGGCCATCAGATGTTAGAAATGAAACAGATAACAAATGAAACAGTGACCAAAAAGGCATAAGAATGCCAACAGCTCCTCCCTCATGCCGGTGTGATGGATTTGCACTCTGCACTGCAGAGTCACAGAGCATCCCGTATGCTTAAGCTGTGTTTTCAGTGCCACGCATGCCCAAAAGAGCACAGCACATAAGGAGCTTACATTCTAGTGAAGGGAATCAAGAAAATAGTAAAGGACAAGATCATTTCAGACATAATAAGAGGATAAATGAGGAATCTTACTGGCCAGCCCCATTGGGGCAGATCCACATGGGGAGGCTGGAACCAGCCTTTGGTCACGAGTCTGTGGTCAGGTAAGGCAGAGCACTAAGCCTGGGTGGTGCCAAGCTCAGGGGTTCATGCCAGAGGTTAGAATCTAGGCAAAAAGTGGGGTCAACAGGCATAGGGCCCCAGAAGTCACCCAGGAGCCTGGGACTCGTGATCTACCCGCCCTGTGAGGGTGGAGACCAGGCTGTGTGTGCTTAGTCACCCCCCACGTCTGATTCTCTGCAACCCCATGGACTGTAGCCCTCTGTCCAGAGGGATTCTCCAGGCAAGAACACTGAAATGGGTTGCCACGCCCCCCTCCAGGGGATCTTCCCAACCCAGGGATCAAACCCAGGCCTCTCATATTGCAGGTGGATTCTTTACCATCTGAGCCATCAAGGAAGCCAGAAACTGGGCTGGGGAGGCCCATAGAAGCTCATGTTCAAGGCGCCCTGGTTAGACAAATGCAGTCTCCAAGAGACATGGTTGGAGAGAGACTTCCCCATTGTGTGAATAAGAAAAAGGAATCTCTTCCTTCAAGTATGACCACTCTGTCCCAGAATCCCACTTAGTGGGCAAGGTATGGGTTCGGTTCCGTTCAGTTCAGTTGCTCAGTCATGTCTGACTCTTTGCGATGGGTTAGACTGCCATATATGGCCATATATGCCTTTGGCTGGCTCTGACGCAGAGGTCCTGGGCAAAGATGCTATTTCTCCTGTCCTCCTTTTATCGCCAGCATTTAGCCTGACATCCGGCATGAAGCATGCCCTCTGTAAATACCTGTGTCAGTGGGTATCAGATAAACACCGTTGCCTCCCTGGCAATGATTGCATATGTCATACTTTGAATGAAGGCAGAAACCAGATGAAGCCACTGTAACCCCTATGAAACCAAGATGTAATTTATACTTAGAGCACAACTCAGGCTAGCCACAGTTCAAGTGCTCAGTGATTCATGGGTACCATATTAGAGGAGGCAGATTTAGAACCTATGATTTCAAAGGGAAAAAATTCTAGAGATCTAGGGGAAAACTTTTGCTAATCTAAACCTTGCAAAAAAAAACACCCTAGGAGAAACAGATCAACATTCAATAGAGTTCAAGGAAAGTTATGACAAACCTAGACTGTGTATTAAAAAGCAGAGACATCACTTTGCCAACAAAGGTCCATACAGTCAAAGCTATGGTTTTTCCAGTAGCCATGTATGGATGTGACAGTTGGACCATAAAGAAGGTTGAGCACCAAAGAACTGATGCTTTCAAACTGTGGTGTTGGAGAAGACTCTTGAGAGTCCCTTGTACTGCAAGGAGACCAAATCAGTCAATCCTATAGGAAATCAACCCTGAACATTCATTGGAGGGACTGATGCTGAAGCTCCAATACTTTGGCCACTTGACACAAAGAGCCGTCTCACTCCAAAAGATCCTGATGCTGGGAAAGATTGAAGGTAAGAGGAGAAGGTGCAGCAGAGGATGAGATGGTTAGACAGCATCACTGACTCAATGGACGTGAGTCTGAGCAAACTTCAAGAGAGACTGAAGGATAAGGGAACCTGGCATGCTGCAGTCCATGGGGGCACAAACAGTCAGACATGAGTTAGTGACTGAACAACAAAACAACATAGAATAGATGAACATTGAGAAATAGATCAATATGCAATAAAGGTCAACAAGTTAGAAAATTGGATCATAAGAACATTTGGCTCCTAGCATTAGGTTTCCCTGGTGGCTCAGCTGGTAAAGAATCTGCCTGCAATGTGGAAGACCTGGGTTTGATCCCTGGGTTGGGAAGATCCCCTGGAGAAGGGAACAGCTACCCATTCCAGTATTCTGGCCTGGAGATTTCCTTGGACTGTATAGTCCATGGGGTCACAAAGAGTTGGACATGACTGAGTGACTTTCAAAAAAAAAATTACTGTACATTGTATGCAAGTCAGGATTCAGGAGAGGGCTGGGACCACAGCAGGATTTCTTCTTCTAAAAAAAATTTTCAAACAATTATTTTGTATTGGGGAATAGCCAATAAACAAACAATGTTGTGATAGTTTTAGGTGAACAAGGAAGGGACTCAACCATACATCTACATGTATCCATTCTCCCCCACACTTCCCTCCCACCCAGGCTGCCACATAACAGTTATCAGAGTTTGCTGTGCTATTGGAGAAGGAAATGACCACCCACTCCAGTATTTTTGCCTGAAGAATCCCAAGGACAAAGAAGCCTGGTGAGCTACAGTTCATGGGGTTACAAAGAGTTGGACAAGACTGAGCAACTAACACTTTCACTTCCTTTCCCTGGGCTATTTAGTAGGTCTTTGTTGCTTATCTATTTAAAATAAAGAATTCCTATGTCAACCAGTCAAATGTAACTCAAGTCAAAATTCTCATGTAGGTCTACTATAAAACTGCATTTAATGTGGGATGTGGATGCATGTGATGCAATGTGGGATGTAGCCTCCACAAGCAATTGTCTCTGAGGTGAGGAAGCATTAAGCATTTCTGAAAACTGATAAATGGATAAATCCACAAATGATAAATGGATCACTGCCAATACTGAAGACCACCAGTTCATCCCTTCACAAATTCCCTTTGTCCTCACTGTGGAGTCTTTCCTACAAAGAATGGACTAGGAATACCCAGCCAACTTGACCTCACACTGGACTTGATGTTATCCTTTGGTCCAATTCACTCTTAACTCATCACTCAGGAATCTTTGGTACTCAGGTTCCCAAGCATGTCTCAGCAATGCAGGCTCTTTGCTACCATCAGATAGGACTGTGGTCCTTAACTAATGACTAACAGCCAAGCTGTGCAAGCTTGGAGTTTGCAGGCAAAGAGAAATGGAATAGCCAGCTAAAGCAGGGAGCTAAGGGCCAAGGAGCTAGACAAAAATCATCCTGCTGATTATATACATTTTTCAAAAAATAGAAAATTTGCACAGCAGCAGTGATGCAATGAATGAGATTTGCTTTTTCCTGCCCGTCAAGCCACTTATTAATCATAACATATTATTGCTCTGCTAGTTCAATATGTGGAGTGAAACACCAGGATCCAGCTGAGAACAGAACTGAAAAGAAGAAAATTGGATAGCAAGAAAAGAGCAAAATTAACATAGGCTAAAGTGGAAAAAGGAAAGGAAAAAAAAAACCCTCCGTCCTCTTAGAAAAGATTTTTCCAGCTATCAGAAAAATAAAGGAAACTTCAATAAAATTTTAGTGCAGCTACTATTTTATGCTTCAGTCTTTTTGATAAGTAATGGCATTTTGAGGAGAAGGGGCTAGCAGGCGAGGAGTTTAGGCTGAATGGAATAGTGGCTCAGCCTTCGCCCATCACCTTTCCTATGTAGCTGCAAATTAGAGTAATTACCATCAGGTTCATGCTGGGCTGTGCAGGTAGGAAATC